ACCCTAAACCCCTAAACCCTAGACAACCCTGTTAAAGCAGCCGATGCTCGTGCCACCAGAGCTTTGTCCGATAATGGCCACGCGCTTGGCATCGCCGCCAAAGGCATGGATGTTCTCCTCGTGGACCCCAGAGAGCCCCATACCCCTTAATTAGGGAATTTACCTTAAATCATAATATTATGGCCCCTATAATTTAAGGTATGTTCCTTATTTAAGAGGTATTGGGTTCTCCTCGTGGAGGGGGGCGGCTTGTGATGAGGAGCGTTTCTTACAGGGGCCGTAATGCTTAGAATAGGGTTTTGGGGTATCTTATACTAAGACTTACAACAAGGAGCCCCCACAATAGTATTTCTGTTCTGTTCTGTTCTGTGTGGGACTCTGGTGCCATCATAATGGTATTGGCAACTATTTAGGGCCGTAGGGTCTGTGGAAGGGTTCTATGCGCTCTCTAGAATTTTCTTACTTCCCCCATTGAGCCAGGGAAGTAGAAGGTAAAACTTTCAGATTCCTACTAAACTATAAGAGCCGAAAAAGTGTAAACCCTAAACCCTAAACCCTTGGGTATTGGGGAACTAAATGGTGGGAGGTCTTTGGGGCCTTTTGCAGTCTCGCGGGGTTTGGGGATTTCAAGCCTAGGTTGAGGATGTGGGGCTTTGGGGTTTATGGGTTTAGGCTTTGGAGCTTGGAAAGTTTAAGGATGTAACCTGGGGTTTAGGGGCTGGATAAGTTTAAGGTTTACGGCTCGGGGGGAGGGGGTACTATTTGAGCCCTTGTTGCGTTTGGGATGTGTGGTTTAGGGCTTGAGTCTCAAATGCTGTGGTTTTAGGGCTGGGGTCTCAAATGTTCGTTTGGTTTAGTAGGTTTATGCATGCCTTTTCCATATATTGCCACTGTACCTTCCGTTGTTGGTATTCTTATCGTCATTGTTGCTGCTTTCCCATGATATTCTTATACTTCTTGTATTGTTATTCAGGCTATATGTACGCAAACATCTACACATCGCGTACAGGACGATGCACAACCTCCCTGCTCCCCAGAGTCCCCAACCCACCCACCGCTCGCCAAAAAAAAGCAACACAACAGCGACAACAGTTGACTAGAATGGCTACAATCCCGTACAAACCCCTGCCAACAAAATCCCCGAGTTGGTAACTTCCGGCCCGGTTGTGTGTTACTTTATACTCTACTTGTATAAGGAGCCCTCCAAAAATAGTATTGGTCATCATTACTCTATATTATACTTGTACAAGGAGGCCCCAAAATAGTATTGGTCATCATGTAATTTTGTGTTATTCTATATTATACTTGTACAAGGAGCCCCCAAAATAGTACTGGTCATGATTCAAGCTTCTATAATAAAGCCTTCCCTGCAAACCTGAGCTCTCGCGAGTAAACAGCAGAACACCCTCAACCCTAAACCCTAAACCTTAAACCCACACCCCTAAACCCTAAACCACCGTTGAAGGCACCTGAACCCAGCGCAGGGCCAGCTGCTGATCGGCAATGCCTCCGATGACAAAGCAGGGGAGAAAGGGGGGGGGACAGTAAACCGATAGCTTTCTGCTTCGGGGCTTTAATTTCAGAATATAGGACCTAAACCCCGAAACCCTTAAACTCTAAACCCCTAAACCATCCTAAACCCTAAACTCTACAAACCTAAACCCTAGTGATTTAGGTTAGGCTAGCGCTTTCACCGGTTTAGGGCTTAGGAGGTGCTCGGTGTTTTGCGGATCCGACCCGTAGGCTCCGGCTGGCTGGGCGCTGCAACCTTTCGAAGGGTAGGGGTTTAGGGTTTGGGGCTTTCGGTTTAGGGCTTAGGGTTTTAGGGATTTAGGGTTTAGGGTTTGAGGCTTAAGGATCGGGGTTTAGGGTTTAGGGGCTTAAGGTTCAGGGTTTAGGGTTTGGGGCTTAAGGCGAACCTGATTAAGACACCCTGGCCCTACAAAACCACCAAACTATCAGGATCCATACAATGAGCCCGAGTAAAGACCCAGGGTTTCTCGATCAGGTTCCAAAAGAATGCTTCTGACACCCAGCCCTAACCCCCCAGGTACCTACTATATAGGGTACTAGAGCCCCTAGGGCCCTATATAGTAGGTACCTGGAGCGTTGGGGCAGCAGAAAATCTCATGACCCAGGCCTGCGTTGCCGCTGACGCCTCGAGGATCCACAGCCGAAAGCTCCTGGCAGAGTGCAAAGCAAAACATAAACCCTAAACCCTAAACCCTAAACCCTAAACCCTAAACCCTAAACCCTAAACCCTAGAGTCCCCAGAACCCTAAACCCTAAACCCTAGAGCCTATAAAGACCGGATTCCAGAAAACCTTGACTGTGACAACGGGCTTCGTCGGGCTTGGGGCGGTCTTCAGAACGATGGGTTTCAGGAATTCATGTGGCGGCTCCTTTAATTATAGCCCCCCACCCCCCGACCATTTCCGGAAGGCTTAATCAGAGAGCTTCAAACCCGCTTAGAAGAGCCGCCACATTAAGGATAAAAGATGTTGGAGTCTGTGGAGCACACAAGCAAAACTCAGATCGGGTCCCTGATTAAATCTCCCCTCAGCCTTGACCTAGAATTTAAGTGTGGAGCCAGAATAACACAGGTCTTGTTTCGGTACTGGGTAGTTTTCTAAGCTCCAGGAACCTAGGACCATAAAAGGGGCCCACTGCAAGACCGATGGAATATTTATTCCCCGACCAAGGCTCCGTCAGCTCCTTATTTCAGGGGTCCTCCAAGTGTAAGGTTGACCATATCCCTGAACCCTGGCTCAGTTGCCTAGTTTCCTAGAACCCTAAACCCAAAACCCCTAAACCCTGAACCCTAAACCCCTAAACCCCTAAATCCCTAAACCCCTAAACCCTAAACACCCCTAAACACCCCTAAACACCCCTAAACACCCCTAAACACCCCTAAACACCCCTAAACCCNNTCCGCTTATGCGCCATTCTACGGCAACCCCTAAACCCCAAACCCTAAACCCTAAACCCCTAAACCCCTAAACCCCTAAACCCCTAAATCCCTAAACCCTGAACCCCTGAGCTGAGGACCAGACTTTCTGGAACCTGGACCACGAACACTTCCCAAACCACCACAACCCCTGTGGTACAACCCGTATACCTCAACCTGAACCCTAAACCAGCCCTAAACCGTAAACCTTTAGGGTTTAGGGTTTAGGTTTAGGGTTTAGGGTTTAGGGTTTCTAAATCCCTGATCAAACCCCCGAAGGGACCCTTAACAGCCTTCATAAGCAAACCCTTGTGAAGCCTCAAAGCCGTTAAGGAACCCCTGTGCAAAGCCCTTCGTGGTCCGGCGCGGATCCTTGAGAGCCAGGTAGCCAAGAGTGCCGGTGCGGTAATTCCTGAGTTGAAACTAGGGTTCCCTGTGAGGGTAGGGTTTAGGGTTTAGGGGCCCTGTAAGGATTCTACAATATCGGGGCCTGACTGAAATGTGTCGGTTTGCAGTGCTCGTCAAAACTAGGGTCTTCTAGGGAAATATTCTTGTAGTAACGCGGCGTAGAGGGATGATCAATTCAAACAAGGCTTTTTGGGGCACAATATCGGTTACCGTATAATCATAAGCACCCCTGAGGCATGGTATAGCTCATTAAAAACTCATTAGATCCCTGAAACCGCAAAAGCTTACGAGCACCCTTTGCAGTGTCCATTCGTGTCCTAGATATAGCATCAGCTCAATGCTTTGAAACGAAACGTATACAAACGCCATTTAAACCGGTGTCGAACACTGCAAAATTACCTCAAGCCTTATACGATCCTACTACACCCGTGTAAGACCGTGGAACACCAGTACGAAGTCTTAGTATAGCTTCTCAAGGCCGCACTTAACTCGCCCAGCGTCATGGCCACGAGGACGCAGGGGTGGCGGCGGACGATATTCTCGATTGGCCCGTAGAATTCCGAGATCCTGGGCTGAGGTTTGGGGTCCTCTAGAGCTGGGAGTCGGAAAGGATTTCTTTGCAGGTTCAGGGCCTAGTAGTTTGGGTTTATAGGGGTTTAGGGTTNNAGGGTTTAGGGTTCATAGGGGCTTAGGGTTTAGGGTTTATAGGGATTATGGGGGTTTTAGGGGTTATAGAGGTTTAGGGTTTAGGGTTTATAGGGGTTTAAGGTTTAGGGCTTATTGGGGTTTAGGGTGTAGGGTTTATAGGGGTATAGGGGTTTAGGGCTTCTAGGGGTTATAGGGGCTTTAGGGGGGTAGCCTGTCTTCTTTTGGGGCCCTGATGGAGTTGAGGAGCTTAGAACAGCAGCCTTTTGGGGCTTTAGGGTTTAGGGTTTGTAGGGTTTAGGGTTCAGGGTTTCCGGCTGCTTTGCATCCGGAGAGGCTGCTTTTCTCGGATTCCGGCTGCAACGGATTCATACTACGTGGTATCATGTTCAAAGTAGGTAGTATTATATTCAAAATATAGTATACTATGGATTATTGTAGTAATTTCATCATCGTATACAATACTGTAGCATCTTACGGTGTATTATGGGCTTTCAAGCATACCCAAACCCCCCGAAGTAGGTAAATCATGGCCCGAAGCCTATAAGAGGCTATTTGTCTGACACTTTCGGAGTCCAGGTAAGCTTCATAAATGTCCAAACTCTAATATAGCACCCTGAATAGTAGGATCCTTATTATAGGGACCCCCCAAAATAAGGTACCCCTTATTGTCGGGAACTCCCAAATGTCGCAGCCTGGAGGATGCCTCAACCCTAAATCCACAAGGTCCCTCCAACCTCCATCCCAAAACCCACACCCCACATTATCTGGGCTTTTGTTAAGGGGCTTAATTCAAGTTGCCATCATAAGGAAACCGTGTTAATTACTATGGATCCCTGTTATGGTAGCCAAAATTAAGTTCCTTAACAAGAACCCAGTTATTCATAAACTCGGAACCGGGATGCCTTCTGATACTAATTAGTATAATATACACCCCAAACCCACTTCTAATTATAATTATGAGGGTCCTCCAAAAAAATATCCGAAAAACTCGGAACCGCAAACCTGAAAATTCCACCCTCCACCCTCGGTTCGTCACAAGGCTCGCAGATCCCTGCACATTGGAGCCGCCGTAGATCCACCTTCTTCTGACTCTAGGCTTCCAGAAACCTCATTATTGGGTCCTTAAGGGGTCTCGGGCCCTAGCTATAAGGTCCTTGGAAGCCCGGGTTACTCACTCGGATTGAGACGTTTTAGGCTTAGGCTTGAGGGTTCCGGGTTTTGTCAACCTTTTGGCGCTTGAAAGAAGTTCGTACAATGTAGAGTTCAAGGAGCACAATCAATCAACTGCTAGCAGCTGCTTTCATACCCAGGCCGGTTACGGCTTTCGCTACGGGGTGAAACGAAGTTCGAGATGCGAAAGCATACGGCATTGTTGCGAGGCCCACTTTCAGCTCAATCTAAACCCCTAAACCATCAACCCTAAACAACAGCCTAGGCCCTGCCCAAAGTGAACCCATAACCCTGGAACACACACACACAAGTAAACCTGTAAACCAGACCTCCTAAAACAAAACCAAATCTTAACCCTTGATGCAAAGCCACACGAAGACAGGCAGGTTTCGTGCGTTGGCTGGAGCAAAGACGTTCAAGTTCAGGCAGTCCTGCACAAGGTGTTTAGGGCTCAGGCTATCCTCGAAGAACTGTCTCCGGCGTGAAAGGGTTCCTTGAAGATTACGTACTATCAGGGCGGCTACCAGAAGGCTTCATTAAGCGTTCCGGAAGAACCCTCGAGCCTTTGGGGCTTTCGAGTGTAACTGTGAACCACGTTTCAGTCCTGAGGCGATCTTCAGGGCTTGCCTGCTTTTTTGTCTAGGGGAGGGCCGGGGGAGATGGGCGCGGAGGGGTTAAACTCAGATTAAGGGACCCTAAACCCTAAACCCTGGTAAGCCCTATAAGCCCCATAAACCCTGTAAACCCCTATAAACCCCTATAAACCCTATAAACCCCTATAAACCCTTATAAACCCCTATAAACCTATAAAACCCTATAAACCCCTATAAACCCCTATAAACCCCTATAAACCCTATAAACCCTAAGGGCGTCTTGGCTTTAGGGTGCCGGGGGGGAGGGGTTTGGGTTTGGACTTGCGGAATTCAGGCCTTCAGGGTTGCTGGCTTTCTTGGAGCTAATATGGGGGTTTAGGGTTTAGGGTTTTGGGTTTAGGGTTTGGGGTTTGGGGTTTAGGGTTTAGGGTTTAGGGTTTAAATTACTGAAGCCCCTTAAAATTAAAGGAACCCTTATTTAACTTAAAGACTAATCTGGGTGGTAGCCCTAAACCATAGTATCAGCAATTATGTAGCCCTGAACCCTAAACCACACTTATTGAAGCCCCTTAAAGCTTAAAGGAACCCTTAAAGACCCCTTAGAGGAACCCTAAGAGGCGTCTCTATGGAGGTTTCCGACAGTAGGGGACTCAAATATAGTACCCTAAATAGTAGGATCCATGTTATAAGGACCCCCAAAAGAAGGCACCCCCTGCTTTCGGAAACTCCCGTATAGGAGCCTTAGTTGTTTAGGGTTTAGGGCTCAGGGGTTAGGGTTTGGGGTTAGGGTTTAGGGTTTGGAACCATAATGTAGGAGCCTTAATAATTCGAAGAGGGTTTGGGGGCCCTTTATACTATATTTAGAATAAGGAAGCCCCCAACATCTGAAATCGTAAGTCTTGCTAGTTACCGAGGACCCTATATTATGCACACCCCTGGCCAGAAGGAGGGATGCTTGCGACAGGTCAAGGAAGCTTCAAAGACGCCTCCTTGCCACAGACCCTTTAGGGTTTGGGTTGAGGATTTGGGATTTAAGATTTAGGGCCTACGGGTTAGAGCCCTAAGCCCCGAACCCTTAAGCCCAAAATGACCCGAAATCGCGCACGAGTGTCCTCGCTCTCGCCGGGGCCTCCGCCCTTGCTCTGAAAGCAGATGTTCCCGTCCTTCGAAGCATCGAAGACGGTTCCTCCACAAGCTCAGCGGCTCTTGGAGATATGGAAAGTCGGAGTGTAGGAGCGATCTTGAAGGGTTTAGGGGTTTAGGGGTTAGGGCTTTTTGGTGGGTTTAGGGTTCAGGGGTTAGGGGCTTTTAGGGTTTAGGGGGTTCCATAAGATGTTTCGCACTGGCGGGGAATTCTAGGGCTTGGGGTTTAAAATCTTCCGCTGGCATGTAGACGGATGTAGGGTTTGGCAGTTTAGCTGCCTGCAAAGACTTAGCATCGGGGTCAAGGGCTTTTAGTCTCAGAGCCCCTTAGACTTAGACTACCCTAGAGGTTAGGGGTTGTCTCGGGTCCATCACGGTTGCCAGGTTTCCAGCTTGAAACAAATGGGTGGTTGTCAAAATTATGGTCCCTTTTTGGGTCCTTATTATAATACGGCACCTATTATTTAGGGTACCCCAAACGGGACCATAATTTTGACAACTACCCAAATGTTGAGATTAAACTCATCTGAGAGTTCTGGACTATGCCCCGGGCTCGCCTCCTAAACCCGAAACCCAAAACCCGAAACCGCAATGACCCTACTAAGGAGCCCTAAGCCCTAAACCCCAATAACCCTACTAAGGAACCCCACAACCCCTAAACCCCAATTACCCTAAACCCTAACTATCCGCCGGCTGCGACGGAAGACCTTGGGTTAAAAGGATCATGGGACTTAGTAAGTAGGGCTATAATTAAGGTAACTGCACTTATAACCCCAATGAAGGGACTTATAACCTTACTTACTAAGTCCCATGATCCTCCAAGTACGGAAAGCCCCAGACCCCAAAGCCTAAACAACAAACACCTAAACCCTCCCCCCCAAACCCTGAACCTTGCCTAGAGAACCAAGGGGTCCTTAAAGGAACCCTATAAGTAGAATAAGGAACCCCACCCAAATAGTATTCGCAATTTTTGAGGCCCCTTGTAGATATTCTACTAAAAATAAATTAAGGAACCCCTACAATTGGTATTAGCACTTATTCAGCCCTAAACCCTAAACCACAATTATTGAAGCACCCTAAACTTCAAGGAACCCCTACAGACCCCTTAGAGCCGTAGAGGAACCCTTTGAGGCGTCTTTATGGGGGTTTCCGAAAATAGCGGGGGGGGG